TCTTTAATTTTCATTTTCCTATATTCTACGATTTGATACTAAAAGCGTATCTTTTGTCAACACTTTCCTAGATTTCGAGATCTCTGTTCATATGGAATTTAACAAGTCTCATGATGATGTCGTTACAAGATTTCACACTACTATTATTTGTAACGTTTGATTGCCCGATAGAAATTTTTGGAAATTTATTCAAATAATGAATAAGCAAGGAAGAAATTTAATGGGATCAGATGTTTAAAGTACAGGAGGTGTTAACTTAGTTCGTTGACTGTTGTCATTGCAAAGTGTCTGAGAATGCAATTCACAATCAATATCGTACTGCCAGCATCGAGATATTTTAGCTTCGATCGGCGGTATCTCATCGGTACATTAAGTCCGTCGTGATTCACATTTCATCGTGCATTTCTTAGAAGGTGTCTTATCTTCATCGATATTGTAGGTATGCAATGATTTACTGTTTAGCAATAGTATCATTAAATTATTGCCGTTACAAATTGAAACTTTCATAAATGAATAAATAAAATAAAAAAATTAATAAAAGCTTATTTTACAAAATTAAAACATTAATTTTTATTAGTTGTGTCGTATTCCGTTTAAACTGCCATATCTTTTCAAATCTTAATAAAAAAGATTGTGTATATTCTTAATTTTTTTTTTCCTAAAAAAAATTTAGACTCATTGTATTAAAAAAAAATACTGATTTTAAATTAGATCAAATATGCATTTTTATTAATAATCAGGAGTTTTGAGATATCTAATATTTAAATTATCATCAAACGCAATCTGAATTCTGACAATATCTAACTTCTTAACAATATCCAAGTGTTAAACTTTGAATAGATTGAAGACAATTATAACAAGAAGCGATTAATATAATATTCAAGAAACATATAGTCTACGACGACATGATGAGTAATATATATTGAACTGAAATAATTACGTCTTATAAGTTACATCTGTATTTCCGAAAAATATAGCCATTTCTATCGTTCTATCGATTATTATCAGTGATTTTTGTAATTCAATCGTCATTATACTTTATCGGCTCATCCTTGACAGAGATATTCTTGTTTCATTGTATACCTTGTTCAGCATTTATTTCTAATAAATATGTTTTCGCCCACCAAGCGAATGTCTGCCGTCGCATCTATCTAATCTTGCTCTTTACTACGTTGATAAAGATTTTTCCTATTCAGTCGGTAGTATTTTAACTGAATTTTTAACATCGCAAAAGCCACTGCAGTTATATCTCTCTAACGAAACCTATATAAAAATCGTGTTAGACTGATTATTTTCTTTTTAAACGGTTTTTATAAAAATATTAGAAATCTTATTTTTTCAGTTTCAGAAAATTACTTCATTACCCGCTTAATCTCATCTTCGCATAAATCACGAGTGATTAAAATAAAATTCACTTGTACTCGTCCGATCAGTCGTCGAGCCCATCCTAGACTACGAGGAATATCTTTTTTCTCGCGAATCGTCGTCGACAATAAATCGTCATCTCCCACCCGATTCACTTCATTGAATTTCGTGGAACCTCATGGCGCACAACGAAAGCTACTAAAAACGATAAATTACAATCTAAAAATGCTTGCTGAGGGAACCGGTGGTGCTGGAGGGAGACAACAGAGAGAACCCTTCTTCTCGAAGAAGGATAGAACGAAAGAAGCTCGATCGAACGGCAGAGAGGTGCTTTCGATGAATCGACATCGGGGAAGGGATTCTCGAGGGCGGCGCCACGTTTGCGCCACGGTATAAAGAGCCACGGAGGGGAATAAAAAGGTGGAAAAAAAGGAGCTCGGGTGAGAGTGGCTAACATGGAATAGCCCTTAGCCGGTACGATAGCCGCTCTTTAGGCTGATGGACTTTTGTCCCCTTTTCCCTTTTATCCCCTCATGACGCCACTCTCGTTCTCTTCGCCTGTCACCTCTTGCCTGTGGTCCAGCTTTCTACCTTCATCGCATTCTCTCTCTTTCTCTGTATTTCCTCCGCTTGTATCTGCTCTCTTTCCTATTTGCATTTCGCGATCTTTGCTGTGCCTTTGTGTATGTTATAAATACACATCACAAGAGAATATTGAGTTTTGTTTAATATAATTCGCGTTATCAAATTCTATGCGTATATATAATAAATATAAAATATATATTAAATATTTTTCAGTAATTTCATTTACTAAAAAAAAATTTAGTAAATTTATCTATAACATATTTACTAATAAATAGTAAAATCATAATTTCTTATCATAATTGAAGAATGAGGAATATAAAATTTTTGTTAAAAAATGTTTTGGTAATCAATATATGCTACTTGAAATAAATGGATTATCTTGGTATTTGATAGAAAAAAGAGATACACCAGAGTATAGTTTGATAAACGATAATGAATCTGCGCGTTTTATTACTCATATTTATTTATTATACAAATAATTTGCTCGACATTAATTAAATAATTTAATTAATTTTTCTTGATATGTTATAAATTACGCATCACTGAATAGATAATTACTCATAATTAAATAAGCGTTATCTTTGCGAGAACTCTTCGACAAATGCTAAGACATGATGAATTACTATATAGATAGCAAGATATTCGCGAGAATATTGTTTTCACTTTATCACGTCGTATAATTATGAGCAACATACATTGTTGCATTTTTAAATCAGTGATGTTAATAGTGTTTAAGTTATAATAAAGGAGAGATACTGAAAGGAGAATTTACTGTTACCTCTACCTTTGTAATTTATGAATCAACTATGATATTTTATTTATGTGTAACTTAAAATTTTGTGATGCAATAAGATGTATCTGTATAATTATATTTATATGTAATGTAAATACTGTTCTGCAAAGGAATCTGGATCTCGTCCTAAGAGATATTAAACTTTTATCATTCTTTAAAAAACGATTAACAAAATATATCTATTACGTGTATTTACGTTATATATTACTCTTTGGAGAGAAAATTAAAATATACATCTATACATGCTCATATATCTAGATATACATATTTCTTTGGATTATGTGGCATAAACGTATATGTACAAAATTAGGCAGACCATATATATCATATTGTACATTAAATATAAATCGCAGATAAGCATATATTAATCATTTGAGGTACTTTATATATGTCACACTGCCTAAAAATTTATAACAGAATTGTCTTGTATGTCACATTATCTGATATTAAAATTATTATGGAAAAACGTATTTATCAAAAATCAAAAGGAGATTTTTATATTGTGTATTAGAAAACAGAAAACTAATTTAAAAAATTAAAAGTAAATTTTACACTAAATTTTAAAATAATTTATACTAGTCATTTTTATTTTTATGCGTATAAACTTAATCTTCTTTTCTTTATCTTCTCCGGTTTTCCTGGTAGGGAGCGCATCAGTTCAAGCATTGCGACATAGTCTACAATGTCGGTAACGCAGGTTTCAAAGAAGAAATCGTAAGCAAGCGTTACCGATATTGTATCGATTCTAAGAAACATTCGATTATTTTGCAAAAATCGACACGACAAAAAGCACAAAAGGATAAAAGAACAGGTTATAAATGCCATTGGTTGCAATGTGCCATGCTTCTGAATTCTCAAAAGTCGAAATAGATGATTAGGAATTAATACTTAATAATAAATATAAATAAGCGATAGGAACACAGTTTAAAAAATCATTTTCTAATTCAGAAAATTCGCAATAATTACTCAAGTAATACAATTACGTTTAATAAACATTAGAAATTATATATAAACTGAAAAATAAATGTTAAAAAGATAAGTTTTTTAAACTATTTAATAAAATGTTATAAAAATGTTTAACAAGAACGTTTGTAACGTCTATTAAACATTTTTTTAC